CTTCTTCCTTCTGGTGGGTTCGTGGTCTTGTTGGCAGGAGCGAAGCTGCAGACCTTCACAATGAGTGTTACAGTTCTTAAAGGTGGCACATCTGGAGTTGTTCATTCTTCCCAGTGGGTTCGTGGTCTCACTGGCTTCAGGAGTGAAGCTGTAGACCGTCGCAGTGAGTGTTACAGCTCTTAAAGGCAGCATGGACCCAAAGAGTGAGCAGCAGCAAGATTTATTGCAAAGAGCAAAAACAACAAAGCTTCCACAGTGTGGAAGGGGACTGGAGCTGGTTGTCACCGGCTGACCTGGGTTGCCACTGGCTGGCCCGGGCAGCCTGCTTTTATTCCCTTGTCTGGCCCCACTCACATCCTGCAGATTGGTCCATTTTACAGAGAGCTGATTGCTCCGTTTTGACAGAGTGCTGATTGGTGCATTTACAATCCTTGAGCTAGCTAGACACAGTGCTAGGCGGAAAAGTTTTCCAAGTCCCCACTAGGTTAGCTAGACACAGAGTTAGCTAAATACAGAGCACCAACTGGTGTATTTACAAACCTTGAGCTAGACACAGAGTACTGATTGGTGTATTTACAAACCCTGAGCTAGACACAGAGTGTTGATTGGTGCATTTATGATCCCTTAGCTAGATATAAAAGTTCCCCAAGTCCCCACCAGACTCAGGAGCCCAGCTGGCTTCACCCAGTGGATCCCGCACAGGGGCTGCAGGCAGAGCTGCCCGCCAGTCCCGAGCTGCGCCTGCACTCCTCAGCCCTTGGGCGGTCGATAGGACCGGGTGTCACAGAGCAGGAGGCGTTCCCCTTGGGGAGGCTTGGGCTGCACGGGAACCCACAGTGGAGGAGGGGTTTGGGCATGGTGGGCTGCAGGTCCTGAGCCTTACCCCATGGGGAGACAGCTGAGGCCCGGTGAGAACTCGAGCATGGTGCCATCGGACCAGCACTGCTGGGGGACCTGGAGCAACCTTTGCAGCTGCTGGTCTGGGTGCTAAGCCCCTCACTGCCCTGGGCCAGTGATGCCGGCCCGCCGCTCTGTGTGCGGGGCCCCACCGAGCCGGCGCGTGCGCCCACGGGAATTCACACTGACCTGCGAGCGCCCTCCGCAGCCCGCCCGCACTTCTCCCTCCACACCTCCCTGCAAGCAGAGGGAGCCAGTTCCGGCCTCGCCCAGCCCAGAGAGGGGCTCCCACAGTGCAGTGGCAGGCTGAAGGGCCCCTCAAGCACCGCCAGAGTAGATACCCAGGCCAAGGAGGCACCGAGAGTGAGGGCAGCTAGCACATTGTCACCTCTCACTGGCTTCATTCCGTTGTTGACAGCCTAGTCTGTCAAACTAGAAGAGCCACTGACAGAAGTGATGAAGAACCAACATTGCATCTGCTTTATTTTTTTTTAGTACTTGTTCACATAGAAAGTATCCAAGACAAAATTCAAGCTAATTTGTAGATGTGAACAAATGTTCATAATGTAAGGCATTATCTCCCTAAAAATGTTATCATTTGTATTTGACAAGTTCAAGGTTGAGAACATCATCAAAAAGATGATCATAACTGCTATTGAAAAATTTATGTCTCTAGGAGCATTTTAAACGTGTGTTGAATTTCCCCAATATTCCTAACCTTGGTAGAGATGACCCTCCAATATTTGTTTATGTTTTTGCTTGAAGAACTCTTAGGAAATTCACCTCCCTGAGCAGAGTCCCAATATTGTATTTGAGGGACACTCTCTAAGTCATAAATCTCCTATGTCTCTGTGTAATGTCGCTTCCTTCCGAGAGGACTTTCCTGCCCATCCTATCCAAAATAGCTCCTGGCCTGAAGCCTGTAATTCTCTCTTTTGCTTCCTTTGTAACACGTATCTGAAATTATGTTTTCTATCATTTGCTTCCCTTTAACTATCTAGATACCCCCTACCAGAGGTAAACTCCACAAAGGCAAGGGCGTTGTTTGTCCTGCTTTTTCTGTACCCCAGCTCCAGCACCGTAGTCTTCACATTTCTTCAGTCTGACTGCTTCCTTGGCCGTTACTTGCTCCTTCACATTCTTCCTGCCCCAGTTCACCTTCTCAGAGAGACCTCTTTAACCACAGTCCAAAGTCTAATGACTATCTATTTCCTTCAGGGCCTTCAGTTGCAAGAAATCAAAAGTGACTTCAGTTGGTTAAGCAGAAAAAGAGTAATACAAAGATGTTTTGTGGTTTACAGAATTGTTGAGAGGGCTGGAGAGCTAGGCTTGGGCTCAGCTTCCAGAACAGCATCTAAAGCTATATTGCAGAAGCAGAACTTATCTGATGAAGGAGTAATTCTAGCTACCAAAGGCAAGTTGGCTGTTTTGTGCTGTATATTACCTTGTAGCCCCAGCTACTATTACAGGAGGGAGGGAGATAGAGAGTGAGAAAGAGATAGTGGAAAAGAGGGCTGGAGGGACGGAAAGAAGGAGGAAGGGAGGGAGGGAGAGAGAGAAATTACCTGAACTCTCCTTCCCTTTTGCATCAGTAGCCTCTAATTTAAATTCTAGCATGGCTGTATTATTAGTGGAGCCCAAGTCAAATGCCCGTCTCTAGCTGGAAAAGAGATACATAAATAACTCCTATAGGGGGAGCTAATCTTTGCCTAACGCCAAAATTCATGCATTAGAGCATTCTTAAAGCATTAAAAAGTTGACAGATGAGTCCATTATAGTCCCATTCACATCACTTCATTCATTTCCTTCCCACCTCTTATTAGCATATTTAGATGCCCTGTTATTTATATTTATTTTTATTTTCACTAGAATACAAGCACAAGGAGGATGGGAATTTTATTAGTTTCCTATTGGCTGCTGTGATTAGTTACCACAAATTGAGTACCTTAAAATAACACAGAACCTATCATCTTACAGTTCTGGAAATCAGAAATTTGACACAGGTCTCACTGGGAGAAAAGCAAGATGTTGTCAAGGCTGTGTTCCTTGTCTTATTGCCTCTCTTTCCACTTCAAAGCCAGCAACAGTGGGTTGAGTCCCTCACATTTTTTTTTTCTTTTTTCTTTTTTTTTTTTTTTAATGTAGACAGAGTCTCACTCTGTCCTCCAGGCTGGAATACAGTGGCATGATCTTGGCTCACTGCAACCCCCGCCTCCTGGGTTCAAGCAATCTTCTAGCCTCAGCCTCCCAAGTAGCTGGGATTACAGGCGTGTGCCACCACACCCAGCTAATTTTTATATTTTTAGTGGAGATGGGGTTTCACCATGTTGGCCAGGCTGGTCATGAGCTCCTGAGCTCAGGTGATCCACGTGCCTCGGCCTCCCAAAATGCTGGAATTACAGGCATGAGCCACCACGCCTGGCCTCACATTTTTAATCTATCCTTCTCTTATCTCCTCTTTCTCCCAGCATGAAAAAGGTTCAGATTTTAAGGACCGATCTGACTAGATTAGGCCCGCCTAATCCATGATAATATTCCCATCTCAAAGTCCATACCCTCACATCTGCAAAGCCTTTTTTAAAATTTAATTTAATTTATTTTATTTTTTGACACAGAGTCTCTCTCTTTTGCTCAGGCTGGAGTGCAGTGGCGTGATCTAGGCTCACTGCAAGCTCCCCATCCTGGGTTCAAGCAGTTCTTGTGACTGAGCCTCGCGAGTAGCTAGAATTACAGGCATGCGCCACCACGCCCTGCTAATTTTTGTGTTTTTAGTAGAGATGGGGTTTTGCCATATTGGTCATGCTGGTCTCAAACTCCTGGCCTCAAGTGATCTGCCAACCTTGACCTCCGAAAATGCTGTGATTACAGGCTTGAGCCACCGCGCCCAGACCTCAATAAATATTGATGAGATGAAGAAACCTAGATAATGGCAGAGGTGGATCAGCTTCTCTGTGCTCTCTGTGCCTTACACTCAGTCAGACTTCTCTGGGGCCAAGTCTGGTAGTAGAGGGGGATGTTTAAAAGGCAAAATTCTATCAACAGCCTATTGGGAGAAAAGATGAGTGTTTGGAGAGAAGCTGAGGCAGGGCTTCCATGTCTGCTAGACTTGCTGGCTTCTTGCTTCTAGCACTCCTGTTATCTCAAGCAGCCATGTATTTCTCATTCACTTGATACACTGTTTCCTTTCAACCCCCACATCCTCACCACCTGTTTATTTGTTTGAGCACCAATAAATAGGGTGGGCTCGCAGAGCTTGGTACCTTCGCAGCCTCCACACTTGCTATGGCCCCCTGGTCCCACTTTCTCTCTCAAATTGTCTTTTTCTCAGTCCTTTGACTCTGCTGGACTTCTTCTCCCCCATGACCTGGTGTTGGGTCTGATCACCCCAACAACAGCCCATATGGGAATGGCTGGCAGGGATGCTTCACCTAGAATCATTTTAAGCTGGAATGCTGGGTCCCATATTTTCTACTTGTCCTGGCCATACAAGCCCTTGTCACTGGCAGTCAGATGTAGATCATAGAAAAATCCTTGGAAACTTGGGGGTCCCAGTAATGAATGGGAATGCTGAGACCAATCACACTCTTACAAACCAATTCAAGGTACTCTCAATTCAACTAAACCATGGCACTGTGACTGCTTAGAAAACTGAACATGTGTATTTAGTATTTTCCCCAACAAAACCCTGTAAAACATCCTCGTGCATGTGCCGAAGTGTGTGGGTGGACTGAGACCACACAGTTATCATGGCATCTCTTCCCATAGAGTCAATTTTAATACTAGCAGGTATTTTAAAGCATTGCTTAGATGTAAAATAAACATGAGGTCAGGTGCAGTGGCTCATGCCTGTAATCCTGGCACCTGGGGAGGCCGAGGTGGGTGGACCATTTGAGTCCAGGAGTTCAAGGCCAGCTTGGGCAACATGGCGAAACCTTGTCTATACAATTAAAAAAAAAAATTAACCAGGCATGGTGGTGAGTGCCTGTAGTCCCAGCTACTTGGGAGGCAGAGGTCAGAGGACGCTTAAGCATTGAGGTTGAGGCTGCAATGATTCATAATGGCTCCACTGTACTCCAGCCTGGGTGACAGAGCGAGACTGTCTGAAAACAAAAACAGAAACAATAAAAAACATGAACCTGTTATGGGGTGGTATATAATAATTGCTTAAATTTTTAAGGAAAACAACCACAAGATTTTAAAGGCATTTCAGACTCCTGCCTTGACTTACCCTCTACAGTTCTCTTTTTACCCTACCATCACTGGTGTAATTCTGTTGATGGAGTTTTGCCTCTCAAAACTTTCTCCTCTACTACCAGTTAGGGGTACTTTGGTAGAAAATGTTTTTTTAAAAAAACTGTTCCAAACCTACCTAAAATATCAGCTATCTGGCTCATGATATGATCTGACATAGAACAGACAGAAAGACTGTCCTGTCAGACCATATCATGAGCCAGAACATATAAGAACATATAACAGTCTTTCTGTCTTTCTGGGGCTAGAACGATCACTCATGAAAGATTACTAAGAGGTGATATTTTGTAGACATTATTCAAGGTTGACAAAATCCAAATTCTTGCTTTTTGGGTCTCTGAGCAGCACCATGGTGGTTGGCAAGAATAAATGTCTTATGAAAGGCAGCAAAAAAGAAGCCAAGAAGAAAGGGGTTGATCCATTTTCTAAGAAAGATTGTTATTATGTGAAAGCACTTACTATGTTCAACATAAGGAATATTGGAAAGACACTAGTTACCAGGATTCAAGGAACAAGAATTACCCCTGATGACCTTAAGGGTCATGTGTTTGAAGTGGGACTTGCTGATCTGCAGAATAATGAAGTTGCATTTAGAATAAACAAGCCGATTACTGAAGATGTTCAGGGCAAAAACTGCCTGACTGACTTCCATGGCATGGATCTTACCCATGACAAAATATGTTCCATGGTCAAAAAACGGTAGACCATGACTGAAGCTCATGTCAGTGTCAAGACTACCAATGGTCATTTGCTTGGTTAGTTCTGTATTGTTTTTATATAAAATGCAACAGTTAGATACAGAAGACCTCTTATGCTCAGCACCACCAGGTATGTCAAATTCAGAAGGAGACAACGGAAATCATAAACAAAGAAGTAGAGACAAATGACTTCAAAGAAGTGGTCAATAAATTGATTCCAGACAACGTTGGAAAAGACATAGAAAATGCTTGCCAATCTATTTATCCTCTTCATGATGTATTCATTAGAAAAGTAAAAAGCTGAAGAAACCCGAGTTTGAATTGGGAAAACTAATAGAGTTTCATGGTGAAGTTAGTTGTTCTGGAAAAGCTACCGGGGACAAGACAGGTGCTAACGTTGAATGAGCTGATGGATATGAGCCACAAGTCCAAGAATCTGTTTAAAGTTTGATTTTAATAGTGGCAAATAAAAAAGCCTATTTGTCTGCAGCTAGTTAAGTTGATCGAGCTCTTTTCCTCATGGAGGCTTGGTGTGCAATGACTGCAAACAGCAGGTTCCTTGGTAGTGTACGCAGCCTGTTTCTTGTATGGGTTGCCTCTAAGGGTCCTTGGAAATAGCCCTTTCCAAGGTATGCTCATGTCTCTGACCTTATGCTGTCCCTGTGTAGGCTGTAGACAGGTATGCAAGGTGCCATTGGAAAGCTTCAGAGCATCATAGCCTGGGTTCATATTGGCCAAGTCATCAGGTCCATCTGCACCAAGCAGAACAAGGAGCATGTGATTGAGGCCCTACACAGTGCCAAGTTCAAGTTCCTGGCTGCCAGAAGATCCACATCTCAAAGAAGTGGTACTTTATCAAGTTCAATTTGAATGAAGTTGGAGACATGGTGGCTGAGAAGTAGTTCATTCCAGATGATTATGGAGTCAAATACATGCCCAATTATGGCCCTCTGGACAAATGACAAGCTCTCTACTCATGAAGGTTTCCACTGTGTGGCCATCTCCTAATGCCAAACAATAAATCCTACTTCCTATCAAAAAAAAAAAAAAAAAAAAAAGTGTTCCGTTTGTGGGGGAAAAAAAATCCAAATTCTTTAATAAGGTTTCTAAGTTCACAGATTCCTGGATCAATGAATTTGACACCAAGATCCTTAGGCAATAAGAACGCAATGTTTTCCTTGGTCACTCCTCTCCTACTTTTCTCTAGACACCCAAACCCCTAAGGTAACCATGAGCTTTTCATGGTGGCATCATTCCTTGGAATTCTCAGTTCTCTAATCTAGTGCCTGACAGGAAATGAGTACTCGATATTTGTTGGCATTGAATTCTGGGACACACTCCCCAGATTCTCCATGTTCTAAAATGACCTCTCACTTTTTTATTGTTATTTCTCTGTTTTCTGCCCTGCAACCTCACCATGAACAATAAAACTGAGCTCTCGCTAACTCCCATAACAGAGAACCAAGAAAATTGATTATTCATCTAAAGTAATTCTTACTAAAATATGAATGGCTGGAAAGTATATTAGCTTATATTTTGAAAGTAGAAAAGATATTCAAATTATTTCATTCAATATGGTAGGAATTACATCTGTTTTGTTCATTCTCAGATCTCTAATCCAGTGCCTGACAGGAAATGAGTACTTGATACTTGTTGGTTGACTCGGAGAATATTTGGAGATGGTAGCTTTGAGTAAGGAAGGTACCTTAGTAGTCAAGTTTTTCTTTCACTGCCTGTGTTCTTACTTATTTTGGCAGACATACAAATAAGGCCAATAGTTTTGTAGTATTGATTGTTTTTTACTACTTGTAGCTAAAGATTTCCCTCATCTATGTTGTTGCATAATTATATGTTGGGGTTTTGTGTTGGGGGGGAAATGAATGTTTTGACTTAGAAATTTCTCTTCCTGCGAAAGATGTTTTAAAATTTTTCTTCTAGACCTGTTTGGACATACCCTAATAAAAGAATAAGCTCATGGCTGGAGAATTCTAATGCAGTTATCTATAGCATTTAACACACGGCAAGTGATCAATAAACACTGACTGAAATGAATTTATTTATTCATTTATTTTTGACAGAGTCTCACTCTTTTGCCCATGCTGGAGTGCAGTGGTGTGATCTTGGCTCACTGCAACCTCCGTCTCCCCGGTTCAAGTGATTCTCCTGCCTCAGTCTCCTGAGTAGCTGGGATACAGGCACCTGCCACCATGCTCAGCTAATTTTTGTATTGGTAGTAGAGATGGGGTTTCACCATGTTGGCCAGGCTGGTCTGGAACTCCTGACCTTAAGTAATCCACCCGCCTTGGCCTCCCAAATTGCTGAGATTACAGGCATGAGCCACCGTGTCCTGCTGAAATGAATTTGAAAGGCAATGTGGTAAAATCCAGAGCCTAAAATAAAACTCGAGGTTCTCAATCCACACTCAGCCAATTGTGTGATCGAGTTCAAGTCATTTAACTACTTTGATGAGTGGTTTTCTCCCATTATTTCCACATCCTGCTCCAAGCCCACTAACCTGTGAGGCTTAAGATCTTCAATTAAAGTTGTACTAAATTGTTTTCGAAGAAGATAAAAATGTCAACAATGGTACAAATTATACAGGTTATAACTCTGTTACACTTCCAGAAGGAGATTTAAGATGCAATACATAAAATATCAGCTACGTGGTTGCAATGAGCAATGATAGAATTTAATTTTGTTATATTTTCAGATGAGCTCATCCATGTTCTAGGTAAAAGCTAAACACAGAAAATAACATGGCCTCATGCTTAAGGGGAAATGTGTAATAGTGCCCACTGGGAAAATGGAACAATCGAGATGTGGCTCTAACAGTGACCTTGCTTGCCAGGCCTTTCCTGCCCACGTTTTCCTTCCTTTGGTCGTCCTCTTCTTCTGGGGGTACACTTTCACTGGCAAGGAGTATAAAAAAGCTATTACAAAAAGAAACCAGTAAAGTAATAAAATACTGACCCAGTGGGCAAGGGAATTAATTCTATAACTACAGAATGGTGTGTGGGAAAATATGTACAGACAGGAGATGAATTAAAAGAAGCACTGTGCATGTTACGAACTTGAACAGGAATTTTTCAAAACCCTATAATCTCACTTTTTCCCTGCCTTATTTTTCTGGATGTATTTGACAGCTCAGAATTCCTCAGTGACTCTTTTAAAAAAATTTCACATATTTTTGGTTCATCTTTTTTCCCTCCCTTTCGCAGTCTTTAAGCTCTCATCCTAACCTTACAAAAAAGAAAGAAAGGAAAAAAAAAAAGGAGAAGAATCACAGGGCTGGGCTGGGGCTGACATGTAACTCTCTATTTCAGAGGAACCTCAACTTCTCTGCATTTGTGTCTCTTTATCTGTATAGTGGGCATAATAATACCTGTCTCAACTATGAAACAAGAACATGTGACTAGCAAGTGGGAGGACATGTGCAAAAATTAACCTCTTCAGTGGCATCATCACTATCTCTCCTCTCAAATCTCTCCTCAACTAGGTACGAGACTAGTTGCATGCCTCCAGGGCCCAGGTCCTTTCATGCTTTTCTATGGCCACATCCTCTTACTTGCCCACCCTGTAAATATTATTTTATTTGTCTGTGCTGCCATCCCATTTTATTTTTTCTGTTTCTCTCCTGTTTTTAGCTCAAATGAACAAATAGCTTATCAGTATTTACAATCTATTTAGCAATAATTTTTTAAAGCCACATATAATTCCATTCCTATGTGAAATTAAAATGCCTATTCTAATTCTTTCTTAAATTGGAACCATGTGAAATTTTCTTTAAAACCTATTAATCATATTTACATCGTATTTTTAAAAATTAAGCTTTGTTATTAATCATATTTACAAATAGAAAGCTTAATTTTAATATTTTTATATATTCACTATAGTTACTGATTTCTTCTTTGCTCTAACTGCCCTCTTTTGAAATTGCCCCTACAAAAACACCTTTAGTGTTTATAGAAATAGAGTAGGATAAGTAGAACCAATTCCCCAAACTCCTAAAAATTTTTGTAGGAAAAATATCTCCTTCACACTGTCCACACCAACTCAGTACTATGAAAACATTTTTTTCCTTTCATCTCTACAATGTGAAGAAAAAATAAAAATTGAAAGTTTGGTTCCCACATTACTTCAAGAACATAATTTTTTTGTTAGATAAGGATCCCAAAATACTTCCTACAACATAGCCCCTACTGTTCCTTGTTTAGTCCAGATTATTGTTTTAAAGAAAGCAAATTAAACAAAGGTATTGGTGACACTGGACTGGAGTTCTCTGATGCAAAATTATAGATCTCTGGGGATCTTTCAAATATGTCTTACCTAGTTGCTATTTATCATCAAACATACCCAAATGTTTGTAGTGTGTGAATATTTTAAAACAAACCTAGCATAGTGTCTGAGTACAGAGTTAAGTCAATAGTTTGCAAACATCCCTTTGTTTCTTTATATGCATTTAGCTACTGCTATACCTTTTTCAATGAATGAAGCAGACCTGAGCACAAACAATAAAAGAAAGCAAAAATTACCAGGTTTGGACTTCACTTCACAGCTGGAAAGATTCTGTTGAGGCTGCCAGCAGGGGATCTTGCGTATTAATACCCTACCTGGAAGAGCTGACATGTTGAAAATGAGATTAACACCTTCCTGTTTTACATTAACTAAGGCTAAAGTGTCATTTGCCTTATCAGGAGAAAAAATTTAATACTGAAATGATGGGGTTGCAAACAAGGTATGGTTCTAAGAAAATGTTAAAATATGAGGTAGGGGTTTTGTGGTGGTGGTAGTGATTCTTTCAAGATAAATACCTGTACAAATAAAAGCCAGAATTATCAGGACAACTCAAAAGCTGAACATAAACACATGTAGCACAACAACTCCTTTTCAGGCCAATGCTAATTGACACAGTAAATAACTTGTCAGACTGCTTAAAAAATAAAAATAAATGAATACACTATGTCAAAGAGTACTGATGCTTAGGTATTTGTTGCCAATTCCAGACTAGCCTAGAAAGAGAAGAGCTAATATAAATGATTTATTCATTCAGATATAAGATAGCACTTTTTAATTCTCTCACTTCACAATTCATCTAGTTACATATTTACTAAAGATGAGCATTTAGATGAAAAAAATATTAAAAATTCTAATGTGAGGAAGCCTCAAAATCATTGTCATGTATAAGTGGGAATGAGGTGGGAGAAGAGGGCCAGGAGTGGCTTGACATCTCCCTCATCCAGACATGCTCAAAACAGGTACTAGTGGCCTTTTCTCAGGCTCAGATAGCTGAGATATCATCCATACGTACATCATCTTCAGTTGATAGAGTCACTCTGCTGTGCCAGGCCCTCTTGTAGGAGTGACAGAGAAACCAGAAGGACAGATAAGTTCTTTGTGCTCCAGGCCTCCTGGCCTAGGTGCAGACAGACATCAACAGTGGCCAGAATACAAAACCAACTCCAGTGGGTGAGACAGGAAAGACATAAACGTCCTCACTAGGAGCCCTGGGGGAGGGAGAATAACTCTTCTGGGAGGATCTGGGAAAATTTCCTAGAGGAGATGTGGTGTAAGTTGGATCCCACAGAATGGGTAGGGTTTTAACAGGTGGGAAGGAAAAATGGTGGAGAGGACTCTCTAGGGAGAATGGACCAATTCATCATATTTTGACACCACGATCACATGGAGAATTATGGTGTAATAGACACCCAAAATGTATCAGTGAAAAATATGTTGTTATGGAGATTATAGTCAGTAATCCACTTTTTTTTGGGGGGTGGGATGGAATGTCGCTCTGTCACCCAGGCTGGAGAGCAGTGGCGTGATCTCCACTCACTGCAACCTCCGCCTCCTGGGTTCAAGGGATTCTCCTGCCTCAGCCTCCCTAGTAGCTGGGACTACAGGCATGCACCACCATGCCCTGCTAATTTTTGTAGTTTTAGTAGAGACGGGGCTTCATCCTGTTGGCCAGCATGGTCTTGATCTCTTGACCTCATGATCCGCCCACCTCAGTCTCCCAAAGTGCTGGGATTATAGGTGTGAGCCACCACGCCCAGCCAGTAATCTACTTTTAAAAAAACTATATATGTATACTGAATATACAAGTGATAAGAAAGAGGAATAAAATCGGCCTTTATTCTGCTTGCTAAATGTCTACTATTCAAGTTTTAAGAATAACACACACTGGTAGCTATTGTTTCTATTCATTTCAGAGCTTCTAATTGCTGCTATGGGGTCTCAATGAGAAAGAAGGGAAGTGGGGAGGGGGCAATGAAAATGTATGAGATTTTCAGGAATGCCAACAATGTGAAGTTAGAATCCTACTCTAACTACTTTCATTCATTCTTCCAAAGGTGACAGTGGTCTGTTGTGTTCAAAATTAGCTGGAAGAGGACAAGCGGTTTTAAGGTAGCACAAGGGAAGGCAACTTAATACCTCCCTAAGGAGAAACCACATGGACTGTGCTGGTGGAGAGGATAATAATAGCAATAATAATAATTTTTAAAAAATAGTGTAGAGGTGGGGTGGCAAGGGTGGGGAAGGAGTTCTGATAACTTGGAATGAGGTGGGAGGAAGAGGTGGAGGTAACCTTTGCAGGTGTTCAAGGAGGATTTGTAAGGGATGCAAAAATAAGGACAACTGAAGCTGTGAGGCGGGATACAGGAACATATCCAGTGAGCTTCTAGGAATAATGGAGAGCACACATTGCATCATAAGGATCACTGAGACCCGAATCCTCTGGGGAAGTCATGTCTTTTTTGTACTAGATGTTTTGAAGCTTGAGCTGGGGCGGGGGGTGAGGCGGGGAGAGTGAAAGAGGAGGGGAAAATCACTGGGAAAAATTAAGCAGTCTGAAAGGAGGGTAAGATTATGAAGATAAATGTTTACATCTCTGCTGCTTTGTATCTCTTGAAATGAAACTGTTTTTGAATAGTGCTGCATCTGTACTGTAAGAACGTGGGCATTGTGAACAAATTGACTGCCTCAGATGATTTGACACATTTTGATTTCCGCTTAGGAAAATATCTGTTAATCCTATTAGATTGAGAAGGAGAGGGTCCTGAGCAGGAATGCAAAAGATCAAATCCTTCCCCATCTTGTGCACACTCTCCCAATGCCAAGGTATTAAAGTCTCAGCTATTTCCAAAGACCCGGTGCATCATCCCTGACCTGCTTGGCATTATATCAAAATCCCTTCTTCTCCACCTTTCCATCCTTGCCTGGCACTAGCTAAAATCATGACAAAACTGGATGGCTGCCCCCTTTCTCTGGCAAGCTAAAGCAGAAAAGAGATCTTATTTTATGCTTTCCTCTTTATGTAATTTTGTTTCCTTTCTTCCATCCTTCTTCCTATTCTTTTCCTCCTTCTCCCTCTCTCCCTTTTTTTGTCTTCTTTATGTGGTTTGCTGTTTGCTAATATTCAACTCCAGACCATTCTTTGTGTTTGGCAAAGGAAGCAGTTTTATTGTTTGGTAACTCCAGGGGGGATATAGTGTCTATGATGTTGTCTAGGCCAAACCTCCCCCAGGAAGGTTAACTACCTCTACCCTACTCTCAAAAGGGAAAGGATGGCAACCACACACTTGAGCACCAGCCATTCTTTTTCGTGAGAAAGTGGATCTGTTCCTGCCCAGGAGTACTTTTTCTTTCCACAATGGTGTAACTCAATATTGCAATGCAATTAATTTACTGAGATCAGGACCAGTTATCTGGAATCTGAATCTATAGAGTGCACATTAGGAATAAGGGCAACAGAAGACAATTTTTTTTTTTTTCCTAACGACTTTCTGAGAAAAGGTTCTTCTTGGAGCGACACCCAAGTCTGATCAAAGGGTCTGTTCATCTGTCTCAAGAACCAACGCTGAAGCCCAGCATGGAGCTAAAAATATGCACTCACAGTCCTAGAAAATTGTATTCATTAAACTCTACCTACAGGTCCTCACCCAGAATCTGCTCTATGCCAAAGCAGCGTGCTGCTGTTAATCCTCCTTTATAGATTAGGCAGTAAAATAAAGAGGGTGGGGCTGAAATGCAGGGGAAGTCTGCACACGTGTTTGGAAAAGAAGAAAAGGAAAAGCACAGGGAATTCTTGTTCTCTCCTTCATGTTCCGAGTTGCCAGGGTTGTCCAGACACCACCGAGAGACACAGGGCTTTTTAGCGTTCACTGTATTTTCACTTCCACTGGGTAAGTGCTACATGTAAAATGGGAATTTAGAGACAAGATCAAATAAATGCCTTTCAAACTGTGGCACACTGTTATTTTTGGATCCCATCCTTCTTTGTGTGTTAAGAAGGAAATAATAATAATCATAGCTGACATTATTGAGCACTTACTATGTGCCAAGTACTGTGGTAAGTTGTTATTTACATAATCTCATTTCATTCTTCACGATCTCTGAGCTAGGTGCTTGTGTTGCCACCATTTTGCAGATGATGACATTACAGTTTAGAAAGGCAAAGTAACTTGAGCAAGTAAGTGGCAAAGCTGGGATTTGAACCCTAAGCTTCCAAAGTCTTGCTCATAACGTCTATGCCACAAATATGTCATCTCTAAATACTTCCCTTAAAAGTATGTTTTCTGGTTTTCATTTATGATTTTGGTGACTGCTCCTTAATAATAGTTCTACTATTATCTTAATCTTTACCATTTTCTGCAATCAAGTGATAGGGTTCCTTGGAAGCTGGAAGTGTGTTCTTCCTCACCTTTGTATCTACCCTGCAGCTCTTAAAGCAAAGTAGAATAGGAGCTAAATAATTATGTGTTGAAATGCACTTTACATTATCTCTGTATCTAAATAAAACCCATCTAAACGAGTCCACTTCCCAAACATTGGGATTTTCCTCCTCTTTGTAGCCATCCCTTTCTTCTTGTTTTGCTTTCAAAAGGTTGATTTTGAACTGGAGGGACACTGCAGTTGTCTTGTCACTTAGCGGGATTTGAAAGTGAGAGTCTGTGTAGTGTTTTAGCCTGCCCTCAGCAATCAGGCCTCACACTCGCGAGGCTCTGATTGTAGGAGTTGCCTTATTTGCATTGATGAGGATGAGCCAGCTGCTAGAGCATACAGAACTGCACCTGACACAATCACGGAGTTCAGGATTAGCACGGGGAATCAGGAATCCACTGGGCTGGCTGCGTGGCAATCTCAGCCCTACATTAGAGTCACTCATGCAAAATGACCCAAATTTGCAATGAGCACAATTAGCAATCCAAAGATGCATGTTAATTTGGGGGCCTGATATTTTCTTACATTTCCCTAAATTAAAAATAATAAATACATTCTTTCCTAGACAAGTCTGGACATGAAAACAATTCAGGGGATTATGAGTTTGTAAAAAATGTGCAAACCCCAGAAAATGTGGTTTCTTTGGGTAACCAGCCACTGCCCACCCCCCCCAAAGTATTAAGTGTGGCATCAAATAGGGTAAGAGCTTTGTGGTATCATGCCCCTTTTTCAATCAATGGAAAACAACTATTTACAAGGATAAAAATAATTATAGCTATAACAGGCAGAAAAGAAAAATTTAAGCATAAAAAAGGTTTTGATATTTTATATGATGTATTCATATTTCTGAGACTATGTTTGGATCACATATAACCACAGATATACTCAACTATTTCTGAATTTACTAAAAGTACAAGAGATTGTGTTGAATTTTTATTAAACAGAGTTTATAAATCAAATTGAACATTCTCCAACTCTGGGCTGTGTTTCCATATGTTTGCAATCTATAGGTATTGAAATGCTCACCTATACTTTAGGAAAAAAAAAACCCCACAACATTTTGCAAAGATTGAATAAATGATCATTCGAAGCAAAAGCATGCAGTTCAAAAGCTAAACCTCCCATTGGAGAACAGAAAATTTAATGAGCTTTTAATGGAATGCAATGCTCAGAGTAGTAAATTATTTGTTAGTTGACGATGCAATCAGCATGCTGATTAAGGTTGCTTGGTTTTTTACTAAACATTAACTGAATGAAAACGGGTAGTCCTTGTTCTGCTTGGGGGGCTTTAAGGAAGCAAATGGACTTTCAGAACAGAGATTGTCAATAAAGGTGAGTGCACTCCAGGTGTCATTTGAATATGATGATAAAATACTAGTGATAAATATTTAAAAGCATTTTAAATCCACAATGTTCGCCTAGGGTATTATGGACTCTGTTTAAAGAAACAGTGGGCCTTAGCAGGCCTAACAACAATCCCTCTATCTCTCTCTAGAAAGAAATATCTAGATCTGCTTTCTTTTATTGCAAAAGAAAAAAGAGGGGTGGGTATGCTTTGAAAATATGAACCAGCATGGATGCAGAGACCAGGAACGATTGGGAGTTTGGAATGTAAACCTAAAAAGAGACAAAAAGGACAAAAATCAAAACAAAGAAAAAATATTCTGACAGCAAATAAAAGAGACATCTGTTTCTCTGGATAGATTAAGATAAAAATTTAATTAAGCAGTTTCAATATTCCAATGTTTAAAAATAATTGCTATTAGAATATATATATATTGAAATTTATAAATGATGGCATTCTGAGGGCAAGAAATATTGTGATATTGGAGTTATATTCTGTCTAATTTAGAGGGTCTGAAAAGGAACAAAGAAAAAGAACAAAACTTGGAAATACCTTATGTAATGCTTATTTTTGTTGTTAGATTGTTAATACAGAATTTATTTTAAAAATTATTTACTATATATTAATCGATATGTACATTAGTCATAAATTATTGATTTTGAGAGAGAGATTTTGTTACTATTTATACTGCCAGATTTATTTCTCTCCCAAAAGAGGGATTTTTTGTTTGTTTTTCTCCCTACCAATTGAAGAATTGTGGGTTTGTAGGTTAATTTTCTTTGAACAGCTACAAAGTTCTTTTTCTATAAATCCCAATTAGTTTCATTATCGGTGATTCTCTGGCAATGATCAGGTACCCTTAAAATCCGATAAATAACTACCTCTCACTTTTAACTATTCCTGTTTATGACCCAAGAGGTTAAAAGCCTTTGACTGGCATTTGACTTCTGACCTCATATAAATGTTATCTTATCAGTTCCTGCTTGTTAACTTGTATTGAGTGCTTGTCCCTGATGGCTTTTAGATAAAGGGTTGTGGGGGTTTTTCCTTTTTTTTCTTTTTAATATATTTCCTGTAGGAACTAAACCATTTGCTTTGTTCTTTGCCTAGTGCAGTCAAGTCTGCTCAGTAACCTGCTATAAATCTATTAGAAAGAGCCAAATATGCTTTTATTTATTTCCTACATTATTTTTAGTTTAGCTTTATGGGTGGAATTTTATGATAAAAATTATTTATTATAATTAATAGTAATAATTACTAGTGATCTTAATCTTTTAACCTGTTTGTCAGGAAACTGGTTAGCTTAGTATTTTCTCTTTTTAAAAAAATATTAACAATTTAAAAAATTTAGCTTTGCATTTTGCACCAGCATGAGATGAGTTAGAGAGATAATTTATGGAAATCTTGTCTCCCCAGACTTCAGAAGTCTGGCTAATGAGAGAGTCATCAGTAAGATATATCTTTTTTAAAACATCGAATCCAGACCATGAACTGTGCATTTTCTAACCTTTGGGGAGAAAGGTGGTGGCCTGGCGCCTTCCTTTGCCCTTCTGTCCTAAGAATTAAGAAGGATTTTGGCCTTTTATTCCATTTGCAGCTGTGTGTGTTGTTCACACATTCAAGTGTGTATGTGTGTGATTCTAGTCACTATGTACAAACCTAAATACATTTGAATGTTTGCATTTTAATCCCTTTCCATACCTCGATGGCATCATGAGGGTATTCTAGGCAGATGTTGGTGCCTCAGAGGCTGCCTCATTTGCAAATGACCTACAATGTGATTTCCAAACAAAATATTACATTAATTTTCATGTGGAAAACAGGCAGTAAGGAGGGGGAAGAAGGAAGAGGCAGCCATCTTGGAGTCGTTTTGCCTTTTAGCCTCATTCTTTCGCCTCCTAAGGCTCGACAGAATATTATCTTTATTTTTAATTGGCCCTCAACATAAAGCAAGAGGCATATACAAGAGACCTTTGTATTCATGTTTAGAGTAGCAGAAAAGTTGTAACCTCTTTGGACTTTAAATAATAACTGCTACTATAGCCAAACTACAGCTATTATTCTCTAAACTTCTAAATAAATATACATATAAATGAAGCATATGCTACAGCTTGTAAGAGACCTGTACAAAACTTATTAAGGGAAACAAATGTCTATTTGGACCATTCATTTACTGCTATCTAAAGAATTAATATGTCAGTAAAGTTATCTGCCCTTCCTCCTCCCCATTCTTTCTTTTCTCCCCAAACGCATACTCACATGCACGCACATAAACACACGCATTCAGACACCCCCACGATGGAGAAATGGCAACCCTGGAAACTTTTTTTAAAAGAGGAATTCCCTTTCTCTTAGATCATGGGTATTTAAGAAAGAGGGAGAGAGAGAGAGAAAAAAAAAAAAAACAGCTTTTATGTTTTATTTTATTTTAATTTTCTGTGTGTGGAGAGCTGCTATGGCTCCATAATGTCCCAACCCTGCTTTCATCACGCTCATATTCTGGCAACACACAGGTTTAATGCAATTTGTCCTAACTTTTCATTTCAACCATTGCTTTTCTAAAAGTGGTCAGAGTTTAAAGACTGCAAAAGCAGAGGGAAAAGAAATACCACGGCAGGGGGAAAAAAACAAACCAACCCCCAAACTGGTGCTGGTATTCAGTGCATTGACACATTCTCAAATGTTTTCTCTGTAGTTATAACACAAAAGCGCTTTCTTCCCTGTTTTGATGTGTTAAAGACGGAAAGAGAGAGGACACTTCGAAGTGGTAAAATAAGTATTTGGAAAGCACAGGGAAAGTATTTCTCCTTTGAATGTCCAGAATGTGTCAATAATGTGTAGATACTCTACCATTTAATATTAATTAAATTTTAAAAGATGGAAAAGAGATGAAAAGTTAAATTTAGGCACATTGTCTCTCATGTGCTGAACTTTTAGCTATCAATGTTGCCTTCTGTTTTGCATAATTAGAAGTGCATCCAAAGCCAGTCACTTTACTGTGTGTAAAATAAGGATAACAAGGATGCTAAGTCTCCCTGAGAAGGGTGTGAGTGGATCAATAATACATTATTGTTTAATTTTGACATTTGGCAGAAGAAACCATAAACTTTTACTCCTGTAATGTCAGTAATCTGAACTAATTTTCCTAGGCAATATTATTTGCAGATTGTTTTACTGAGTGAAACAAATAAGAATTTGAAAGACAAAGATGACCTGATTCTTAAACACTGGCTCCTAGTCTAAGAACCAAATTCTCTGAGTTGAATCCCAGAGTCCTTCACAATTGTACTGTCTACCCTGGCTTTTTAAAAAAGATTTTAAAAGGTAAGCTAGACGATTTCAAAACTGATGAAATTATGCCACCATTCTTATTTATATCTAATTCATGTTTTAATATATAGTCAGAAGTTTTAGTAGACCTAGAGTACAAAGAAGTGTTTACTTAAATCAGTTTCTAAACCAGTAGAAACTAACTTCCCCAGAATATTTTTGATGTAATCATTTTAAATCATTGTAATTAGAAGAACAATAAGATGACGAGAAACCAAGGCCCTCGGTTTTTCTGTATGGCTGTATCATCCAGCTTCATAAAGTTACTTAATGATGTATTTTAAAATATTGTTTATGTGAATGTAAACTTACCCTAATTATATACTAAGAAATGTAGTCCATTTGATTTTTTCCCATTCCTTGCCTCAAAAATCAAACCTGCTCTGTTTGGAAAAAGCTGAGGCTTCTGTGATATCATGGACCTTTTTATATTTCAGCAAGGAAGTGGAGGTCATGGAGTCAAAAATATCAAAATTTTCAGGACCCAAGTTATTGCTGTAAGGTTTTATCCTTTCCTTTGTGAAGGCTGATGCAGATGGATTTCTAGTTTCCTTTCGTTTCTGTCCTCTTGTCTATGTGTTTTCTTTATTTGTATAAATTGCATTGTCCTTTCTATAAGAATGTTTGAGCACACTGTCCCTGATAGATTCTCATTCTCACTCCTCTCAGCTTGTTTGAGATTTAGAATGGGGGTGCTTTTCCTTATTTTAAAAGCTTTGCAATTTTAACTCCGAGCCAAGACTGGTTTTCTATCCATCGGGACCTGCTCAAAGGTCACCCTCAAGATCATAAGCCATGTTCACATCCTTCTCATGGGAAAATGATAAAATAATATCCACAGGCATCTGATACTAGGGGCATGGCCTGGACGCACACCTTACCCTCTTCCCCTTGACCTCTCATCTGCCCTGAAGAATGAATACATCCATCCCCAAAGTTGATGCTTCGAAGTGACCAGTCAGATGCTAGCAGGTCAGCTGGCTATCCTCTTGGATAGAGGGTCCATAAATTAAAGAAATGTTGGTGTGGTTGAAAGAGGAAGGTAGTCCAGCCCAAGGGAAGCCACGTAAATCTCTCCTGGAGCTTTGTTCCCAGTAGGGAGTGGGGGTGAGAGTTGGGGTAGCTGGGGGCTGTGGGCTGTTATTAATGCCCTGGCCTCCTGCAGTGGGTGCTAACTTGTTGTGCATGAGAGCTGCCACCATCCTTCCCAAACATCGGGCGCTTGGAAAAGTCAAGCACAGTTGAGCCCTGATTTTCATTTAATAGTCAAAACCAAGATGCATTTGGGCTATGATGATAGGACAGCTCCCTTGAAAAGATTATTTGAACTACAAAGGCATTCATTTAGGGCTAGCAATGTTGCAAAAGGGCCCGCTAGAAATTAGCAGCCTGTCCTGGTATTTGGAGAGCAAGAGTGACAACTTATTGGAAGTTCTCAAGGAATCATTTATATTTCACACTCCACTAGGCAGCTGATTTGAGATTGTCTGTTAGCATAACAAAGGCTCTGAGCCTGTGAACTTCAGAAACCTTTCGACCTCTTAGCTGCTGGCATGAATAGCCCCCAGTCCTGCCTATAGAGATCTCCCAAAGCTCCCCTGTTCGTGGCTAAATTGTTAATCAGGGTAATTTAATATAGTTTTCAATATGCCTCATC